TAATGGTCATTAAAAGCATAGTTTAACTTGCATCTTCCAATCACTGTGAGCACCATAGGAATGAGCAGAAGGAGAACATTCTCAGTGATTTACACAGATATACATGTTTTAGTTGTCCCTTTGAACCTAGATCCTGGGGTCTCCATTCAGTTAGGTTGGGTTTCCACCATGATACCTTTCAACGTCATAGGCTGCAAGCCCATTTCCCTCGATGTTTTTACAACTAGCTTTCGAGTTAGCCCTTTGGTTAGTGGATCTGCAATATTATTCTTTGACTTCACGTAGTCCAAAGTGATAATACCTTGTGAGAGTAGTTGTCGAATGGTATTGTGTCATCTTCAAATATGGCGAGACTTACCATTATACATATTGCTCTGTCCCCTGCCAATTGTTGATTGATTATCGCAATAAACACAAATTGCAGGCACATGCTTTGACCATCATGGAATATCCTCAACAAATTGGCGAAGCCACTCCGCTTCTTCAGTTGCTTTGTCCAAAGCGATGAACTCTGATTCCATTGTAGATCTTGCGATGCAAGTTTGTTTGGACGATTTCCAAGAGACGGCTGCACTACCAAGAGTGAAGACATATCCACTAGTAGACTTGGTATCTGACATATCTGATATTCAATTTGCATCAGCATACCCTTCAATTACTGCAGGGTATCTAGAATAGTACAGTCCAAAATCACGAGTGTGCCTTAAATAATGTAGCACCCTAAAAATGGCTTTCCAGTAGATAGCACCTGGGTTACTCGTGTAGGGACTCAATCTGCTAATTGAGTATGCTATATCTGGTCTCGTACAAGTCATTAAATACATTAAACTCCTAATTATCTGAGAATATTCTAACTGTGATACACAATCACCAGTGTTCTTGGATAAGTGGAGACTCAAATCCACTGGAGTCCTGGCCACAGTGGTATCTGACTTGTTGAACTTGTCTAATATCTTATCAATGTAATGAGATTGAGATAACACAAGTCCATTTGGTGTTTGAGTAATTTTTACTCCCAAAATGACATCCGCGAGACCCATATCTTTCATGTCAAACTTCAAGTTTAACATATTTTTAGTGGCTTTGATAATCTTGTCAGAGCTACCGACAATGAATATGTCGTCGATGTATAGACCTAGTATGACATATCCATCATTAGTGTCCTTGACATATAAACACTTGTCGCACTCGTTGATTCTAAAACCACTAGAAAGTATAACATTATCAAACTTCTCATGCCATTGCTTTAGTGCTTGCTTCAAACCATACAACGATTTAACCAGTCTACAAACTTTCTTTTCTTGACCTAGAGCTATAAACCCCTCTGGTTGCTCCATGTAGATTTCTTCATTCAAATCTCCATTTAGGAAAACTGTTTTTACATCTATCTGATATATTTCTAGATTTCGCAAGGCCGCAATAGCAATTATCATCCGGATAGAAGTTATTCTCGACACAGGAGAATAAGTATCAAAGTAATCTAAACCTTCCTTTTACTTATAACATTTGATTACTAGCCGAGCTTTATATTTATCAATGGAGCCATCCGCTTTCATCTTCTTCTTGAAGATCCACTTGTAGCCCAAAAGCTTACAGCCCGGTGGAAGATCTACTAACCCCCAAGTATGATTATATAGAATGGAATCGATTTCACTTTTGATGGCTTCTTTCCATAAATGACCATCTGGAGAAAATATAGATGCTTTATAGCTTTGAGGATCATTCTCCATCAAATATGTGAGAAAATCAGGGCCAAACGTCTTAGAAGTTTTGGTCCTTTTGCTCCGTCTAGGCTCATCCCCACCTTCTTTAACTGGATTTTTACTGCTGCCAGAAGCAGAAGATTCCATTGTCCATTTAATAGGAGTTAACTGTTTAGGAGACTTACAAGGAAATATATTCTCAAAGAATTGTGCATTTCTAAACTCCATAATCGTGTTCAGATGAATATCAGGTACATTCGAATAATGCACAAGGAACTTATATGCACTACTATTTTGTGCATAACCAATGAACACACAATCAACTGTCTTAGGTCCAATCTTGACCTTCTTAGGAGGAGGCACCACAACTTTAGCAAGACACCCCCACATTCGTAAGTATTTATATGAAGGTGTCCGATTTGTCTAAAGTTCATACGGAGTCTTATCCATATTCTTTCTTAACACTTTATTCAAGATGTAATTTGCGGAAAGAATAGCTTCTCCCCACATGTTCTGTGGTAATCCAGAACTAACCAACATAACATTCATCATTTCCTTTAAAGTTTTATTCTTACGCTAAGCAATTCCGTTCTACTGAGGTGAATAAGGTGCAGTAGTTTGATAAATTATTCCATATTTAGCACAAAGTTCACCAAACGGTGATTCATATTCACCACCACGATCACTCCGTAGCACCTTTATTTTCTTACTAAGTTGATTTTCAACTTCATTCTTATAAATAATGAATTTATCGATAGCTTCATCTTTGCTTTTAAGCAAGTACACATAACAATATCTCGTGCTATCATCGACAAAAGTAATAAAATACTTATTACCGCCTCGTGTTTGGACAGATTTCAAGTCACATACATCACTGTGGACTAGTCAATGGCTCGATACTTCTTTCAATACTATGAAACGAAGACCTAGTAAGCTTAGATTCAACGCAAGTTTCACATTTATGATTTGAATCAATTTGAAACCTAGGCAAGTAATTTAGTTTGCTTAGTCTACGTAAAGCATTGTAATTTACGTGACCTAATCTACCATGTCACAGATTAGGAGACTCAAACAAGTAAACAGAAGGAGTTTTCTCATTACTCATAACAGCTGGGGTTATAGCAATTACATTCAATTTAAATAGGCCATCAGTCATATAGCCTTTCCCAACATAAACTCCTATTTTGGTAATCACCAGCTTATCCACCTCAAAGACCATGCGGAACCCATTCTTGCTCAGAAGAGACCCAGAGACTAGATTCTTGCGAATCTCTGGCACATACAGCACATTAGTCATAGTAAGCTCTTTGCCATATCTCATCTTTAGGATCACCTTGCCTTTACCAAGCACTTCAGAAGTTGCAGAGTTCCCCATGAATAACTTTTCACCATTTGTAACTGGTGCAAAAGTAGTGAACATGCTCCTATTGGAGCAGACATGACAAGTGGCCCTAGTGTCCAGCCACCACTCCTTTGGGTTAGACCCCACCAGGTTAACCTCACTAATCACCGTCGTGAGATTTAACTCAGACATTTCATCTGAGAGATGATCTCTCTCATTTCCAACCATATTAGCCTGAGGACGCTGCTTATTATCCCTCCGAGGCTGACGGTAGTCTGCTGATTGATGCCCAACTTTGTTACAATTGAAACACTTTCCATTGAACCGGAACTTAGGTTTCTTTCCTACCCCACATGCAGGCTTCAACTGAGACCCTTTCGTAGCCTTTTTTTTTTTTTTTATCTTTTCAATTTTCGTTACCCTGTTCGGCTTTAAAGGAGTGAACTTTCTTAGTACTAGAACTTTGGCCGTACTCTAATACATTAGCCTTCTCAGAGTAAAAATTCTCTGACTTACGTTCAACTTGTTTGTTATCCTCCTCGATGCACAGCTTGATAATTAAATCCTCGAAAGACATCTATTTCATCGTATGCTGCAAATAGCTTTTGAAAGTCTTCCACTGAGGAGGTAGCTTGTGAATAGCAGTAGCCACCTGTAGAGATTCTGACATAGTCAGACCCTCAGCATGCATTTCTTGCAAAAGCACTTGATACTCCTGTACTTAGCTCACCACTGAACGTGAATCAACCATTTCGAAGTCCATACACCGATTGGTTAAGAATTTCTTAGATCCGGCATCCTCGATCTTGTATTTCTTTTTTAAGGACTCCCAGAGCTCCTTAGCAGCCTTCTTTACCACATATACGTGATACAGAGAATTCTATAGGTCATCCAAGACATAGTTGCGGCACAAAAAATCAGCACTTTTCCAAGCGTCCCAAGTTGCACGCCTATCCACATCAGTGTCATTTTCAGCCACGATAGGGGCATCCTCAGTGAGGAAACGTGCAAGGCCCAACGCAGTGAGATAGAAAACCATCTTATTCTGTCATGTCTTAAAATCAGTACCAGCAAACTTATCCGATCGAATTGCATGATTCATCGAAAATGGAGCCGAAAACGATGGCAAAGGTGCCGAAGCCGCAGCTCTAGGCACTGACAAAGGTATTGTGCCAAACTGGATTGCCGAGGCCGCAGCCCAAGGCAAAATTGGGTTCACTCCAACATGAGGAATCCCGCCTTCAATTATCCCGTCAATGGGAGAAATGTCAGCCGTGGTCTCCATAAGGTTAACAACGATCATTGCAGAATTTGGTACACCGGTACCAACAGTGTTGCTTCCGTTGCTCACATCGTTATTTCCATGTGAAGCCATTGAACCGGAACAAGCAACAAATAATTTAAAATAATTATAAGTTTGTAAAGTTGTATATAAATTCGAGATCAAGTTATCTGTTCAGAAAACAAAAATGCAGAGTTGAAGAACAGATTATTTTGTTAAATTATTAACAATTTAACAATCATTTAAAATGACTTAGAAATCATGCAAAAATCATGAACTGGAAAAATTGACAAAAACTAATGAACAAAATTTGATTTACTAAAGCTAATTCGATTTAAGATTGTAGATAAATATTAGAGAATCAAATCAAACCGAAGGCCTGTGTATTCACAGTTTCCTTAAATCGAATTCGCCGCCTTACCGAAGTGCAAGAGGTTTTGATCGGTGTTCGATTCTCAGGATACAATCGGTTGTCGGTTCACGCTACACTACGTTAACCACTTGCGAACTAGCTTTGATATACTCTATCTATCTCACAAAGAAATTATAAGCACAAGAAGAACTTAAAAGTAAGAAAAAGAAGATTGTTGCTTAGAGAAAGAAGCTTGCATTTCACTTGTGATTTTCCAATCTAGAAAGACTCCTATTTATTTTCATTGGTCGATTCGTGCCAATGGTGGTTGGAAAATTTATTTCATTGAATATGAAAACTGAGATGTATGGAGAAATACCGATGCCTGAATCTGAAATTGGTCTTGAAGATCTGTCGGTTGGGCTATTGAGGGAATGCCTTTGTGTATTTTATGACTATAAAAAACACCTGGATGTGTGGATGATGAAGCAATATGGTGTTAGAGAATCTTGGACTAAATTGGTTTGCATTATGGATATCCAGAATGAAACACCAGTGCCATTATGTGCATTAGAAAGTGGTCTAATCGTAATAAAGTATGGATCAACTTTTAAGTTATACAATTTGGCCGATAATAATGCATTTACATTCCTGGAAATTTCTACCCCTGATGCCTATTCTAATTATAGAGCAATTACCTACACTGAAAGCCTAATTTTGCCTAACTCTGATCATGAAGAAAACCAACAATTGTGGCAATGGGGTACAAAGGTAAATTAGGTTATCATGTTGGTGAATGTTTCTTATTAAATGTTTCTTTAGATCATATCTTAATTTGTGTGTGTTTATTTATTTATTTATTTTTATGTATTCTCCTATGGTGTGTTGCATGCTATTCTAGTCCTACTAAAATTTCGGTCATTAAAAATATTTGCAAACTCAACAAAAATCTCTGCATTGTTTTCTAAACCTTCTCCTGCTCAGAGGACCTTCTAGCTCATAATGTAAATGCTAAACAAAGAAATGTTAATTGATGTATTTAATTGAATTAAGAATCAAGCTTTTGGCATTATATGTCTCAGTCAATGCACCAAAAATGTAACTAAACTACATTTTATTTGCTCCTCCAGATCTGTATTCTGTATTGTATTGCTTTATAGAATGTAAGGGTCATATTTACATTTTTGTCACGAATTATTTCTCAATAAAAAGACAAATTTCACGCATAACCTTTTCTGAACCCATTTAATCAGAGTTTTCTCTGTGATGGATCTATGTTACCCATTCAATCGACCCTTTTTTTCTTGTCTTGTTTTACTTGGAAGGTTAGATTATAGAGACCGCATTGCTATATCTTAGACCATCAAAGCATTCTCTTTGTTTTACTCTCCAACGACTTTGTGTAGCTAAAGAGGATATACACAGAGATCCAGTTTTCAATTTCTTAGCACAGTGAACGCCCGTAGCTGGTTATTGTCTATATATTTATTTTCTTCAACAAATATATAATAACGAACCAATCTGAGCTTGAAAAAAACTCATTTGTTGTCTGCATAGACATTGTAGATAGGTGGATCCAATTTGCCAGTTACTTGTCACTAAATAATGACCATGTCACTTTGGTCTCGAAATGCTTTTGTTTGATTGTTACCTGAATTTTATCGATCGCCTTTCTTGTTTTCTGAGTTATTCAATACTTTTAGTAATCTATGAGTTTTGTTCCATTTATCTCCAACATTTTCTGCCTCACATGCCAGCTTGATGTGAACCTGGCTTTGACACAAACTAATGCATGATGAGAATGAAAGATGCTTGCACCATACCTTAGAAAATGTAAATTAGTGGCTGGAGTTTGCAGAAAACCATAAGAAGGTCATAACAGAACTGCATAAGATTTCAGTGCTTTGTAAATAAGAGGCTGAATACAAGGTTGACACCACAAGAATTTGTCTGATACCCAAAAATTTTGAACTAGGAAACATAATAATTTAAATTAAGACAGGATAGGAAACAGCTAATAAGATAGCAGAATGATGAAGAAAGGAAAATAGAAATACGGCTGCAGTATTTACATTCCTGGAAATTTCTACCCCTGATGCCTATTCTAATTATAGAGCAATTACCTACACTGAAAGCCTAATTTTGCCTAACTCTGATCATGAAGAAAACCAACAATTGTGGCAATGGGGTACAAAGGTAAATTAGGTTATCATATTGGTGAATGTTTCTTATTAATGCTTCTTTGGATCATATCTTAATTTGTGTGTGTTTAGTTATTTATTTTTAAATATTCTCCTATGGTGTGTTGCATGCTATTCTAGTCCTACTAAAATTTCGGTCATTAAAAATATTTGCAAACTCAACAAAAATCTCTGCATTGTTTTCTAAACCTTCTCCTGCTCAGAGGACCTTCTAGCTCATAATGTAAATGCTAAACAAAGAAATGTTAATTGATGTATTTAATTGAATTAAGAATCAAGCTTTTGGCATTATATGTCTCAGTCAATGCACCAAAAATGTAACTAAACTACATTTTATTTGCTCCTCCAGATCTGTATTCTGTATTGTATAGCTTTATAGAATGTAAGGATCATATTTACATTTTTGTTCATGAATTACTTCTCAATAAAAAGACAAATTTCATGCATAACCTTTTCTGAACCCATTTAACCAGAGTTTTCTCTGTGATGGATCTATGTTACCCATTCAATCTACCCTTTTTTTCTTGTCTTGTTTTACTTGGAAGGTTAGATTATAGAGACCGCATTGCTATATCTTAGACCATCAAAGCATTCTCTTTGTTTTACTCTCCAACGACTTTGTGTAGCTAAAGAGGATATACACAGAGATCCAGTTTTCAATTTCTTAGCACAGTGAACGCCCGTAGCTGGTTATTGTCTATATATTTATTTTCTTCAACAAATATATAATAACGAACCAATCTGAGCTTGAAAAAAACTCATTTGTTGTCTGCATAGACATTGTAGATAGGTGGATCCAATTTGCCAGTTACTTGTCACTAAATAATGACCATGTCACTTTGGTCTCGAAATGCTTTTGTTTGATTGTTACCTGAATTTTATCGATCGCCTTTCTTGTTTTCTGAGTTATTCAATACTTTTAGTAATCTATGAGTTTTGTTCCATTTATCTCCAACATTTTCTGCCTCACATGCCAGCTTGATGTGAACCTGGCTTTGACACAAACTAATGCATGATGAGAATGAAAGATGCTTGCACCATACCTTAGAAAATGTAAATTAGTGGCTGGAGTTTGCAGAAAACCATAAGAAGGTCATAACAGAACTGCATAAGATTTCAGTGCTTTGTAAATAAGAGGCTGAATACAAGGTTGACACCACAAGAATTTGTCTGATACCCAAAAATTTTGAACTAGGAAACATAATAATTTAAATTAAGACAGGATAGGAAACAGCTAATAAGATAGCAGAATGATGAAGAAAGGAAAATAGAAATACGGCTGCAGTACTGCCAGAGCTGAATGCTTGGTGACTTTATTTTCCTTGAATCTAATTTTCTTGCATCAGTATCTGCCAGATGATTATTTAGTTCCATGGTAAGATGCTGATCGATTCCTCTCCTTCGATCTGAAGAAAGTCCTCGTGCCATTCATATTTATTGATTTAGGAAAGGAAAGGTATAAAGAAGAAAGTAGCATCGCTGATGAGAACAAATGGTAGGAATGACCAGGAATTCGCAGTCCCTTCGCTTCCTGGGCCCAAAGCAAGCTGAACACATGTTTGATCCACTCTACGAAATGAAAGTGAGATCTTGCAAAACAACCATAGATTGATTTGAACGCAGATTTTCGCAAAATGACCTCGTGTAGCCAGTTCAGGGCTTGCAATAGCTTCATCTTCTTCTCTGTATGGAAACTTGCTTCCCCACGGGGTTTGAGCTCCAATTGATCCCTTGTAAAAGTCTTCAATATCTGCTGCTTTATTTACTTCTACATCTTTCTCCCACGGGAAGGGTTATTTTTTAAGCGCTTTACTAATAACATATATAGGGCTTACCTTTTTGGCTTGATCGGAATCGATTTGATCAGTTTCCCAACTCTATGATCACCATCAAAGACAGGATTCGAGTCCCCATTGCAATCCAAGGTCGTATACCCAAATGGAAACTAAGCTAATTTTAGATATACCTGGTGGGTTTTTCAGAACCTTGTTCTCATATTTCCTCCCTGTTCATATCCCATCCCAATCTCTTTCCATGTGGTGAATTTGTAGCCTTTACCGAATTAATGAAAAAGCTTCCTTTTATTTTATTTTATTTTATTTTTTTTTTTGGGAAAAAAAGGATTTTCAAGAAATAGTAAGCTTTTCCTTATGCCATACTTTTACCTTGGAACTAGAGATTTAGAATCAACAAGCAGCCTTGTAGTGATTAACTAAAGTTATATGCAGATCTCATTTCTTTTCTTTGTACACTTTTCTTAAACGTTTTCTGAAAGTCAAACTTTTACGTTATTTCCCTAGTGGAGTGTATGATCTATATAGGCTTATGAGAAACTTATTTTTGTCACTCCAATCTTGTCATATCAGTGGTTGACCAGCATGTGTCCGGTCACATTAACATGAAATGCCCTAATTTGACACTTGGGAGCGAGTCCCTATAGCATCCCATAATTTTGCTATTTAGGTGGATTTTTGAACGTGGTGTTGAGAATCTCGGTTAAATAAGGGAAATTCTGATTTCTAGGAATAGTTTATTGTATATTTTGTAAATATAGATCTTTATGATTCTCAGAAATCAAGATGTACATCTATTGATTTCGTTTGATATAGATCTTTATGACATTACTAAGATGTATTTAGACCTTGGGAATTAGTCCCAAATCTATGAGTTACAACTCAAATGGGAGGATATTCATCAAGGTGAGAATTCGATTACCAAATATTTTAATGTCCTCAATGGTTTATGATAGGATCTTTACTTATTCAATGACAATGAGTGGAAGAATTAGAATTAGTTTAACTATTTTACTATGGTAGAAAGTTTGCGAATATTCAAATTTTTGGCTGGGCTAATTGTCAAGTTTGATGAAGTTTGGGGTAGAATAATTGGTCAGCAACCCCTGCTATCTCTGAGTGAAGTGTTCTCTGCAGTACATCGTGAGGAAAGCAGGAGGAATGTTATGCTTGGGAAGAAGCCCTCTACTAGACAAGTGAAAAACTTGACTTGACTGGGTACTGAAGCTGTTGCTTCCCACCCTCCTAATAATCATGAACCCGTACGTGAAAATATTGTTTAACAATCTGTTTTAGGGATAGTTTGTTGTATAATTTGTAAGGGTCATGCTACATGACACTTCCGGTGTAAACAATTCTTAATCCTCCCCCCCCCCCCCCCCCCACCACAACCAAC